AAAAAAAAAAAAGAAAAAAAAAGTCGGCTTTTAACGTTGTTTTGTTATTCAAGAGACGGCACTGGCCCATATAATATGTGACTCCGGGTTGAATTGTGAGGTCCCCGGCCTCAAGGAATATTCATGTTTGAAATGTAAATAAAGTTACTTTGCTCTCAAAAAAAAAAAAAAAAAAAAACAGTGTTTTGTTATTGGACACGCGTGTGCGTGTGCGTGAGCGCGCGGTTCAATGTCAGGGGCAGTGAGTATATAGGACTTGCCGGAAAAGTGCATGAATTTTGCAAGTCTTTTACGTTATGAATTCGACTTCGAAGAGTTTTTTTTTTTTTTTTTTTTTTTTTTTTTTTATTCTTACTCCTTGAAAGACGTGCAATCTGATCCATCGATCGATATCTGTTGATCACGTGGCACCATCTCCGTAGCGGTTGTCTTGCTTTGAGTTGCAGATGGCACAGACAGACAAACTCCTCTGCCGCTCTGATCGGAAGATCCAGCACCAACGACCGACCAACTCCGCCCTCCACGACCGGTAGCACAGACAACGGGCAACAGGACCACCTGCGCAATTGCTGATATGCCCTCACAGAGTGTGGCTATGCCAGCAGCTCTCACTGCAGTCGCCTCTCCGAGCCGCGATACGAACCAGGAGATGCGCTGGGGGGGGTTGGGGGTGGAAGAAGGCTGGGGCTGAGTGGCAGGACTTGGGAAGAAAAGGACAGCGGTGTGGCTGCTGGTGGTGGTATTTACCTGAGGGATGGGGAAGGAGATCTCTGCAGCACTTCCTTCTGGGCAAGAGTCTCATAGAGTAGGAGAGTAGTATCCACGGTCATATCGTCAACATACCAGCTTCGTTGTTTTTTGTAAGTGCCGATTGCAGACGAGTCGGCGGGCATTCGTTGTCAAGAGGGAACTGAAGTGGTCAGTCTGTTGTGTTGTGCTCATCTGGTGTGTGTGCTCTTTAGCTTTGTCTTTCCGCTGTCAGCTTTGCTCACATTTGCTCTTCCCTGCTTTGATTTGAGTCCCCTGAGGCTGAGATAGTTTGAGTCCCTCTTTGGTTGCTTCTTGCCACCGCTGGCCCGTTCATTTCGGCTTTCTTTGAACTCTCCTCCACACTTTCCCCCTCCTCCCCCTCCTCCCCCTCCTCCCCTTCCTCCCCGTCCTCTGTGTTCCCCCCCCTGATGCTCCGCCGCTCTTCTGCCCCGCAGCGTCGCTGCGCCAGATCCACTTGTTTGCCCTTCAGAAAGAAGGGAGAAGGGCCACGCCCGCCCGCGCGCCCGCCCGCCCGCCCGTTGGTAAAGAATTCAGAGTTATATCTCATTTCATCAGTCATCTAGTCTACCTAGTAATTGTAGTTCCATTGTATCTGGACTCGAACTCGGTCTGTTTTTCAACAGTTCAGTCCAGGGAGGGGGGGGGGGGGGGGGGGGGGGGGGGTACCAACTGAGCTAGGCCTGTTGCTCTGCCACCTGTTTTTTTTCTGAGGAAAAGAGGGAAGGCAGAAGAGGCAATCAAATGTGATGATGAGCTAACCCTGGATTCTCTCGGTTGGACACGTCGCCACTTCCACAATGCGGCCGCTTCTCTTCCTTGGGGAAGCTGAGAGGTCCATTGATCCGCTTCCCTGAGACCGAGGCTAGGAACGGGAGAGCTGGGGACCAGCAGAGGGTGAAAGGCCACTCTCTCCTGTCAGCAGAGAGCTCCCCCCATCACTGATGCAAAGCAGTCTTACCCCACTCGCTCCTCAGCAGAGAGCTCCCCCCATGAGTGATGCAAAGCAGCAGGCAGGAGAGAGTGCAAGGCGACGGCCTTTCCTGTTTTGGAAACGGTGGGAGTGGACTTCCACCGTTTGCCTAAAAGACCAATTCAAGAGAGGAGACTCGTTCTCTGGACCGGGAAACGGACAGCTCCCTAGGACTGATGGCAGCAGCCAGCAGCAGAGGGTGAGAGATCGACGCCCTCTCCTCCTTTGGCAAACGAAGGACTCCCTATGCCACATGGCAAGCAGCCGGCAGGAGGGAGGCCAAGAGCTAGAGAGGAGGGTGGGCCAGTGATTGCTTCTAGGCGGTCGAGAACGTGTCAGAGACTAAGAGACCGACCGAACGAGAGGGCAGATGGCGTGAAAGAGCAAGGGTCGGCGAGTGCGTGTACAAGAGGTGAAGGAAACAATCAGGTGTGTGTGTGTGTGTGTGTGTGTGTGTGTGTGTGTGTGTGTGTGTGTGTGTGTGTG